TTCTAGAGACAACCTTGTGCACAGCCTTCATGATTTACATTTTCCGGCCACGTGGGCAGGGCCAACACTCTAGATGGTTGGAATGCTTTCGTTTTTGGCACTTTCCCAGGTTAAAAATGACCTCCCAACCTCACAGCTAGTAAAAGACCAGCTTGAACAATCTAACCGGGAGGGGTGTGCCAGGGTCCATTCCATTTCAGTGCTTGATGCCTGTCCCCTGCTGAGGGCTCCAGTCTCCTGGCTGACTTGGTCCCTAGCTGGGCCTGACCAGCTTCATAGAGGAGGCTGGACAGCCACTCATCCCCAAGAAGAAGCATTGCACTGAGGGAAACGGGCTTGAGGTAGGCCTACAAGAGGAGACAAAGGCAGTGGGAGCTGGGAACGAGGCCCCAACCCAGAATGCAATGGCCAAGTGAGGGTCCAGGGCGATAACTGCGAGCCAGGCTTTCCATGACTCAGTGGAAAGGGAGCCAGGCAGCTACTCAGCTGCAACACTGCCCATGACACCACCTGGGACTCCAGCCTCATCTTCATTGAATTCTGAGCCTCGGCACTCCTAGAGGAAACAGCCCTGAGTGTGAAGTAAGCTTCATGGTCCTCAGTCTGTAGGTCTCCAATCAACTGCTTGCAGGCATCATTTTAAGAGTTAACTACCTCAATTCTCCCAAAATCCTACTGACCTTCTACTAGTTTATTCCCTACTTATAAAGAAAACGTATGCAACTATATCTATAACTTAGTTATAATGTGGATAACCGTATCTAGCAACAGAATTTTGTGTTCATAAACTAGAGATAAAGGGGTTTGGTGTTTTGATGACAACCATCAAATTATTACATCAAACAGCATCTTAAGGTCCTGGTTGGTGTCCTCAGTTTCACTGCCAAGTGGGCAGAGCAGGTAAAGTTGTCCCCAGAGATGAGGAAATTTGTATCTCTAACAAGCTTCCAGGTGATGTTGAGCTGCTGGTCTCGGGACTAGACTCTGAGAACCACGAATCCTTACCTCGCGACCTTTTTCATTGTCTATTAACAGCCTGAGTCTTCAGCTTTCGCCCTATGGTGAAGTTTGAAGATCTGTAATGGGCAGCTGTTTTCCTTGTACTAGTGATCAGTCCAGTTTGTAGGCAAACCCTGTAGGGGTTTTGTAGGCAAGATCTGTAATGGGCAGCTGTTTTCCTTGTACTAGTGATCAGTCCAGTTTGTAGGCAAACCCTGTAGGAATAAACAGTTTTCTGTGTGTGGGTAGTGAGGGGTAGAGAAGTGGCAGGGTCCTTCCTAATTTAAACTAAACATCCTCCTATTGGGGAAAAAGTTCAATAGCGATGACTTTATGGGAGCAGGAGTCATAGGACAGAGTGCCAAGAACGTGGACCCCAGCCAGTAACCCTACGTGAGCTGGCTGGTGGCACCCCCCGACCCCAGAAAGGATGCTGCCTTAAGGCAGAAGCAGGCAATAGCCTCAGGCTCCTTGGGTGTGTCAGGGCTTCTCTGAACCCCAGCAGACACACAAATTTGGAATATACCACTGCTGTACCTTGTTCTGCTTCCTTCATAGAAATCTGCTTTATGCGAACAGTGGAACATAAAAAATGCATTTATTTTTAACTCCTCCATAAGGAGGGCTTATATTTGAGAGCATTTTATCTAATTTTGAATACAGCCAACATTCCTACAATGCAAATGTACATCCACAGTGAACATCTACACCAGGAGGCCAGTGAGCGAATTCAGTCCCCCCAGACAGTGGTGGTACCTGTCACCCAGTCCTGGAGAGTCTGTTTACACACGCTCTCAGAACTGCAGGACTAAACCTCAAGAAGGGGTTGACACGAGACTTTACAACCAATAGAGGTGAACTGAAAAGGCAATTCCTCAAGGTAAGAGATTAAAATACACTTGTGCCCAACCTAAAGACATCCACCAACCAGAGAGAAGATGGTGACACGAAGAAATTCGAAACGGGTCATGCACAAGCCTGAAAGAAGCAGCCACTGGGGGGGGGGGGAGCCGTGAGCCTTCAAGTGATATCCCCTGCAGACCTCTACCCCCAGCCACTGAGACCGACACAGAGAAGTGAGAGCTCTCCTAGGGTTCCCTTGTCCACTGGCCTCCCTTCTTATTATAGAGCCTAGAGTCAACCCAGTGAGGCTCACCCCCTGAGGATCGGCCAGTTTGGCTCCACTGAAACTGTGCTCATGTGGTGGAGAGAATGTGGACTTCAGAGTTGGCCGGACATGGGTTCAAATCCCGGTCTCACAACCCCACTAGTTGTGACATCCTGGACAAGTTTCTTTACCTCTCTGAGCTTCAGTGTTGTCATCTATAAAGGAGGGATTGGATGGATGGATGGGCAGACAGATGGATGGATGGATGAATGGATGGATGGCTGGATAGGAAGATAGAGAAAGGAGGGAGGAGGGAAAGGAGATATAGATGATAGATACACTTACATACATACATACATACATACATATACATATATAGACACATATGTACTTACGTATTGTTTAACCTTTAAATAGTCAGAAACATAAGAGGAATCTGTTAAGTGTTGGCTATAGTGCCCACTGACAGAGAAACACAGTAGACACTAGCTCCTTCCCATGTGATTTTTCTAAACCACCTGGCTCTAGCCCTCTGTATGCTCATTGTTTCAGTTTCAACACGTTGTTGGAGTGCCGTTCAGCATAGCACCCAGCTCTTCAAAGAACAGCACAGGGCACCTCAGCCTAGCCACGCAATTTCATATACCTGGTCTTGTTTAATTACAGACGCTAAAGATTAATTCCAAATGTCCCTCTCGTGGCCAAGCTCTTAGGCTAACAGATGTTTCACAGGTAGCCCGACACCTCACTCATCACCCTCCGCTAACTGGAAGTGTGGGACATAGTGGAGGGCAGCTATGATGAAGTTCACCACTTCTTTGAAGAACAGGTCAATTACTAGTGTAAATCAATTACATGTAAAAGAGGGAGTTTCACTTACTTGAGAGAAGAATTATGTGCGGGTCATTAGAAGCATTCATTTACAGGCAACGTGCTAATTACAAATGATTACCTATTAACTAGGACCAATTTCTATAGGACATTTCCATGCTGAGCCTTAGTTAAATTAAAAGGGAATTACTGAATCTGCTCGGAGCTGATCAAATCGTGTTTCGTTAAAAGCGTTCCATCATTCACACCAGACCTCTTCCCCAATTATTGCCACGAGCAGAGCTTCATGCATGACTGTATGATCTAGCTGTGGGGGGGGGGGGGTGTTCTGCTTACATGAGAGGCACAGTGCTTAAAAAGGGACCCCAGAGGATATCCAGACCCCCCACATATAAGTGCTAATTGTCAGCCATGAACACTCTTGGTCTTACTGTCCTTAAAACCAAGCAGAGGGAACTAATTCTTGACCATACATATCTCAGAGGCTCCTGTGACCCTGTTAGCCTTTTAAGGCCCCTGACATCAGAGAGTAATGTGCAAAGGACAAGAGGGCAAACAAGGAGTACAGGGGTGGGCTGAGGATCTCCGTAGAATCCTGAAGGCCCCTTTCTGCCAACCAAGAGCTTCATAATCCCACAATATTCTCAAATTCAATCAGTTCTTAATTAAACCAAGTTGGGAAACATGTCAGTCCTTCGGAGTATGTTATATTTGGAGTGGAGGCCCTCTTTTCATCATGTGCTTTTCTGTGTATCCTTTTGAGGCCATGGTCCCTGCTCACTTAGGTGGGTGTGATGGAATGGCCCTACCAGTGGGAAGCCTTCATCCTCCAGAGAGGTATTGATCACAGCCCACTGCGCCGGCAGGAAGATCCCCAAGTGACCATTAGACCTTGTACGTCTTCATTGTCTCTCTGTGTGGGATTGCAGCACCAGGTGTAAGAAAGCAAATGCAGAAAAGGAAAATCAACCACTCGTGTTCTACAGCTTCTAGTCTGTCCTCTTCCATTTAAAACAGATATGTAGCCAAAAAGTCCAGCGCTTAAGTCAGTTCCGCAATTCCTTGAAGAGCTAAACACTGAATTAACAAAGGGTCCAGCAAAACCATAAGAGACTCTTAATCTCACAAAACAAACTGAGGGTTGCCGGAGGGAGGGGGATAGGGAAAGGGTGGTTGGGTTATGGACATTGGGGAGGGTATGTGCTATGGTGAGTGCCGTGAAGTGTGTAAACCTGGCGATTCACAGACCTGGACCCCTGGGGCTAATAATACATTATATGTTAATAATAAAAAACAAAGGGTCCAGCAATGCCACTTTTAGGTACATACCCCCAAAACTGAAAGCAGGGACTCCAACAGGTACCAGAACACCCACATTCATTATAGCATTATTCACAACAGCCAACAGAGCAAACAACCCAAGTGGCCATCAACAGGTGAACAGATAAACAAAATGTAGTGAAATGATACAGTGGAATACTGTTCAGCCTTAAGAAAGGACGAAATCTTGTCCCATGCTACAAGGTGGATGGTCTTTGAGGACATTATGGTAAGGGAAAGAAGCTAGACACAAAAAGACACATACTAAATACTTCTCTGAATTGTCTGGAGTAGTGAAATTCAGAGACAGAATGCAGGATGACAGCTTCCACGGGCTGAAGCAAGGAGGAAAGTGGTGAGTTATGTTCCATAGGTGTCAAGTTTCTGTGTGAGGTGATGAAAGTTCTGGAAGCGAATACTGGTGATGGGCACACATCACCGCAGATGTACTGAATGCCACCAAATTGTCCATTTCAAAGCAGTCGAAATGGCAAATTCCATGTTCTGTTTTAGCATAATCATAATTTTTAATAAAGATTATGCAAGAATGCTGGCGTGTGGACCCAGGAACCAACTTTTGAAAGGAAGGGCAACTAGCAGCTCGCAGTGTTTGCAGACACACGGTGCTGGTGGTCGCGAGGGTGGAGGCCCAGCCTTCCTGGGAGGCTCGAGCACCTTGGGCATGGGGAGGCTGTGTCCGGGGAGAGTGAACCAGCCCAGCTGGATCTTCTTTTCTGTGCAGGTTCCAGCACAGCCCGTCCCACAGGAGCCCAGCAGGAAAGACTACGAGACCTACCAGCCATTTCAGAATTCCACGAGAAACTACGACGAGTCCTTCTTCGAGGACCAAGTCCACCATCGCGCTCCCGCCAGTGAGTACACCATGCACCTGGGACTCAAGTCCACTGGCAACTATGTCGACTTCTACTCAGCTGCCCGTCCCTACAGTGAACTGAACTATGAAACGAGCCACTACCCCGCCTCCCCCGACTCCTGGGTGTGAGGAGCGGGCGGCGCGAGGCTCTCCGGGAACAATGCATGTGCATGCATACCACAAGACATTGCTTTTCTTTTCCCCCCTGCAAATTTAGTTTGTTAAAGCCTGTTTCGTAGGAAGGCTGTGATAACCAGTGAGGACCTATTATGAGCTCTTTTAGAAAGCTAAATGAACCGAACGTTAGCTTGGAAGTCAGTAGGAAGCTGGAGTGATCCTGACCAGGACACTGTACAACACCTTTCTAGTTGGAGCTGTAGGGTGTGGTGTAAAAAAAAAGTGCTTTGCCTTGAACGTGGCGGAAGGCAGCAGAGGAGACGGGTGGGGTGGTGGGGCGTGAAGGTTACCGTTAAGCACAAGGGGCGGCGTAGTTCACACACGTTAGAGGAACAGCTTCTCACGCTTTGTTTTCTCTCTTCATCCGTTGTGATTCTAGGCTTCAAGTTGCATTGGGGTTCCTCTGTACAGCAAGACGTTTCTTGCCTTTTGTTAATGCATTGTTGTAAAGTATTTGATGTACATTACAGATTAAAGGAGAAAAACGCATCGTGTATATTCTACCATGCGTAGTGTTTCCTCATCTACGGTTCTAAATATTGCTTCGATTTCAAACTTTTGAAAGATGTATGGATTTCCAGTTTTTCTTCTCTTTTCTTTCTCCCAGTATGTTTTAACAAAAAAAATGGGAAAAAAAGGAATATTTAGCAGTATTGTTCGTTCTGATCTGTGAATTTGTTCGTGGCAACTAAACAAGGCATTCAGCAGTTTCTGACAATTAACATCCATCATTCCACACTCCTTGTCAACAAAGTGCTTTTTCACTGCCTAAAATTTTAGATGTAGATATTTGAAATAGATTTTTTCATTTATACCAGTTTTCTTTATGATGATACAGTGTTAAAAGAAAATAAATTACAATTGATCTGTCATCCATATTTGCTAAGAATGTCTATTTCCAAGGACCTATCTTACAAAATACACATTCTTGCTTGTGTGTCTGTGCGCGTGTGGGTGTGTGTATGTCCTCGTATGTGTAAAAAGGACCTGTGTGAGATTTTATTTTGGTAGAAGCTATTTCATCCGCTGTTCATCTTGTACAAGCTTTGTTTCTGGTTTTTGGTACCAATGTACATCGGTTTGTTCCTCTTGTACTGCATCTACTTTCTGACCATCTAGTGACTCAGGATATTAGGCCAGTTGAAGTGAAGTTATAGGATTTTCACACATTCACACATTCTTGGATACCACCTCTTTCTACAGGTCCATTTCCTTCCACGTTTTATGCCCTCAGAACACAATAAACCATGGCCAACTCAATAATTTCACTTTGGGGCCAATTACTTGAAGTATCAACAGAAAATGTAAGCTGCTCGCCTTATTACCCCCAAACTTTTTGTTCATGTGGCAGGGAGCAGTGGACCATTATGGATTAGATTATTAAAATTGAACTTGAAGCTAATGTTAGACTAGTGGTTAACAGAGCTAAGAAATAAGGCTAACCATTTAAAAGAACACGGGCTGTGGGTAAATTAGCTTTGCTCTCTAGATGCAAGTGACTGAGGCCAATAGGTGCCTAAGTAAATGTTAACTGTTCTTGGAAAAAATAAAAATTAAATAACAAAAGAAATTGGCTGCCATCTTCCTTTAAAACTTGCTCCCCTTCACGCTACACAGCTTAATTCAGCTCTAAGTCCAAAATCAGCGGTTCCTTCCCCAAATTTAACAACAATCAAAAGATTTTTTTTGCTCATGTGTGTTTTTGCAAGCAAAAAGCTAATTTCCCCGAATAGAGCAAGAGGCGGAAATTTACATATGAATTTTCCTACAAATTACCAGCAAGCTGAACCTTATTGCACCATTTCCTCCAGGACTCCACATTTTGGTGGGTTCCCTCACAGGAATGTTCCAGCCCCCGTGGAGAGAGAGAAATCTACAGCACTGAGAACAATGTGTCCACTTCATTCGTGTCATAGAATGAACTAGTGAAGTTCATCAAGGCAGATAGGACTCATGCGTAACCTCATTGAACTTGTCCAAAAGAAAACAGTGAGACTCCTTCCTGGCTGGATTGTGCACAGGGGAATTACTACATGTCCTAAAATGTCCTTCTAGCAGGAATTTCATGTTTCCTTGATGCTTTTGAGTCCATGCCTTCCCTGCATTTGTGACCTGGGAAGACCAAAGATGCCTCTGCGGCCCATGATTCTTCTGATGGCACGTTGTGTGGGGCTGGGATGACCAATTCAGCTGGGAGCCTCTGGCTTCAGAGGTAGAAGTAGGAGGAAGAAAATGAAAAATGTTTGCTGTTATTCAAAGCAATCCTCTTATTTTCATCCATACACGTATACATACACACAAATAAATAAGGAGAGAGAAGTGATTGATAGAAGGTGATAGATGATCTAGATATATGAGAGATAGGTAGGTAGACAGATCCTAGACAGATCGATGAGATGTCACATGAACTGTGAAATGACCTAAAGCCCCCAACAGGCTCCCTTGGTAGTAAAGGTTGATCAGCTGGTGATTTGTTATTCCTAACAAGGGCTGTATTGGATGAAAGCTTGCAGTGGCAAGAAACTTTTGTTTTTGTTTACATGGTACTAAAGTGACCAGGTCCGACACCCTGCACCCCACCCCTGGCCCTCTGCAAGTAGTTGCCTCTTGGGTCTACAAGAGCCTCCAGATCTTGAATTCTCTACTGAGATGGGAATGGTGTTTTTCAGAGCAAAGTAAGGAAGAAAAGGAACTAGAAATGTTTTTCCTCTCAATCCCTGTAGTGGGCCATATACATACACCCAATGCATTTAATAGGTTGTAAAATCTTGACATTATGTATGAAAAATAGACCCATTTTTTTTTCACTTGAGAGTTTTGATCACCAGGGACTGATGAAAGGAATACTTAAACTATTACCACCTTGAATGATATTAATATTTAAAAATAAGATCTTTTAATATTGATTCAGGTTTCATACCACACACTAATGCTTTCATCCAAATTATCAATTGGGAGTTTGACAATAAAATATCAAACAGGTTTATAAGAAATAGGGTGACATAGAATGTCACGTCACACTTGGTGCCAACTAGGTGAAGGTTAACCACTGATGACTCATTTCATACTAGCAAGATTCATATATTACAGAAAACAGCTGTTACCAAAAAAGCAATGTTAAATTCAATAGCAAAATAAATTTCAATTCCTTTGGTTTGTTTCTTCCACTTACTTCAGCTCCTCTTTGAGAACCAATTTCCTTTCAACTGATGATTCGATCCCTTCAAAGGGAAAGTGGCAGCTCTCAGGTCAGGATCTTCATTAAAATGTGATGGTCTCCATTCCTTGGACAGAGCTCGTTGGAAGACCTTATGCACATCAGCTCCTCTCAAGGCAACATACTGTTTTGTAACATGTAGAGTTAAACAGGAAGAGGGATCTGAGATGTGGGGATAATCCTTGGCCTTACAAAGTTGAGAGACCAAGACCTCCAGTTACTTACAAACAACAATGACCGCGCTCCCAAGCGATGACCTCACATCTTCTCCAAACCAGAGAACTAATACAAACACCTAGTTCAGGTCTGGCAAGGCAGATGCTTGACCTCAGTGTCTCCCGTCAGTTCCACAACAAGCCACCAGGCGGCACCTACTGTCTCATCAGCCATAGAGGAAGAAGGAACTAAAAAAAAAAAAAAAAACAAGCAAACCAACAAAGCACACTAGGAAATGGTGAAAGTGGGGTCTTAAGAGTTTAATCTTAAGACAATGGAATTCTTGACGTGAACTCCAACAATGGCTTCATTAGCATCACACATTGAACACTTTTTCACAGTATGTCTTTGCTTGGTTCCTCAATAAAATGAAGACAAATGCTTTGATGATGTGCCTGGCACTCTATTAGAACATGCATACATAAGAGAGACTTGTCACCCCAGGTGGTGCTGACAGCCATTGTGAGAGATGGTAGAAGATATACATAGTGCTCCAGACCTATTTCTCCACCAATGCACTCTTGGGGTTTGGGTTGAATAATTCTTTGGGGGAAAGGTGGGAGGCAGGGTGGGATACTTATCAGCATCTCTGGCCTCGACCCACTGGAGGCCTATAACATCACCATCTGCAGTTGTGACAATCAAAATTGTCTCCAGATGCTACCAGATATCCCCTGGGGGGCTCAAGCAGCCCCAGTTAGAACCACAGCTCCAGTGCAATGTACAAGATGCTTGTTGCAATTGAGCACAAGGATGCACTCCCAGCTGGGTGACCTGAGAACACCACAAAAAGAAGACAGTGTTTGGCTAGAACTTAAAGAATGGATAGACTTCTGATGAGCAATAATGGAAGCATTTCTGGAAGAACATGAGCCAAAAAGATGTGGAAAGTATAGAGAAATTGACAGGGCACAACGTGCAACAAAATTAATTTTAAAATGAGGAAGAGGGGGAGCTTGGGGAGAGAGAGAGAGAGAGGTCAAGCTGCAAACAAAGTTGAGGCTCCTGAAAGCCATATTACAGAAACTCTGAAGATTTTTCACAGCATCTTTGCAGACTCTCTGGGGGTGCATGGTGGTTGTAAAGGTAAAGTCTAGATCAGTGGCCCTCACACCAGGCATCAGAATCACCTGAAGTACATCTGAGCAATGTGTTCAAACATTCAGTATATGATTGGATAGGGCTGGGACTGGCTGAGAATTTTCATTTCTGACAAGTTCCCAACCATGCTGGGGATGGTGAAAGTTCATGGGCAACCAGCACGATGCCAAAGGACACAATAGCATATTGGAGGTGGGGTTTGGGGAGAACAAGACCAGTGCACTCTTGTCAAAATCAGAGAGAATGTCATAGGAAGAGGGTAGAAAGTGTCACTGGTGAGCACAGAGAAGGACAAGGAGGAAGACTACTGAGAAGAAGCCATTGAGTATGGTAATTTGGAGACCATGCAGGGCCTTGGTGTGTTGTTCCAATAGCAGGTTAGGGAGGGTATATACCGGGGAGGGGAGCAGAAGCCTGA